GTCAATAAGTTTGGTATCAAACTGTAGATTATAATTCAAATTTTAGTATTATACATTATTCAATTTTTGTGTCATGTGGTATGTTGAATGCAGCACTGGTTCAAATGAGATGTTTGTGATACAAAATACTAAGTCTATAGTTTCATACGAATTAAGAACACAAATTACTGATATTGACAAGCTAGAATATAAAATAAGAACCTCATACCTTTTTTATTTGATAAGATGTCACTCATGTACTGAATCAAACACAGTGGTCCTGCTCACTTTGTCAGTATATGACATGTGAATAACCAATCGAAAACTCAGAATATCCCCCTAGTGGCTTTCTCAGCCATTTTCAAGTGTTAGGATGCCATCTCGTTCTTTTGAACCAGGATTTCAAGGAGGTAGGTTATGTCTTTAGTCTGTTCGAAATTTCATATTTTTTTAGACACAAATACAACTTACTTACTAAACTTGATAAATTATAGTGGAATCGATATAGTAATTTATTATTTTTTGGTCATTCCACTGTATGTAAAACCTAAAAAAATTATTTTGCAACCTATATCAAGCAGCAACTGAGTGCTGAAAGAGATAATTACATTTTCTCATGCTAGCTGTCTGTTCTGCAGATACATTGACAAACTCTAATAGCTGTTTTAGGAGCTTATCTTTACTCTCAGAGGAGAATTTATCTTCACATTCTTCAACCAGAAATTGTAGTTATTCAGTATTGATGTGGATATAAATGTCGCTATAAGCCTCACAAATAAGCTCTTCCTACCAAAGTATGATAAACCTTTAGCAGCTGTACCACAATGATCTTTAAATTATAAAATTAATGATAAAATATATATATATATATAAGACTGCATAAATATTGAGGAAAAGGTAAAGTTTATTGGCTGTATTTTACATCCTTCTCAATGAGTCCTGTTAAGAACATGTAAGATCATAACCAACATTTATGGCAGGACTAGGCAGCTGTTTGTAAGATGATAGACTTACAAACCTTTGTGTGTTTGCATTGAAATTTCCAGCTGTTAATGCTTATCTCTTGTGTCCAGAAGCAGCTATAGTTGATGATGCTTGAGATGTAAAAAGATAAAGTAGTGTTCAACGGATCAGTATCAGTGAGGTATACTACCTCTGATGCATATCAGGGCACTAGTTTCAATGAAGATCTCTCTGTCTCCTCCATCACAGCAAGTTGCTATCATTGAAATATTTGAAATAACAAGCTCATACAGCTGAAACAGTGACCTTTTTAACAAAATCAATTTTTACAATACAGAGAAAGGTGGAATGCAGAACCACATGTAAGGTTAATAGTCAGGTCAGGTATAGAAAGTAACCAATATATTAACACATATGAATACCCACTGCTAATACTGCAGAGGTTATATCAAGAGGCTACTAATACCATCACCTGAAGACCAATTGGGTTATCTCTTTTTGCACCAAGTTTCATTAAAATTCAAAAGCCCACATAATGGACAGAATAATGTAAAAAAGCATTTAGATGGCTCAATATAGTTGTTATAGCAGACTTAAGTTGAAGGTAAACCTAGCCTCTTTGTGTGTAATGCCTTTGGTATGACTACACTGTACTGTATTTCCTGTGATACATTTTCTGTTAATGAGTAAATACCCTGCTGGCCTGTGTGATGAGGAAGGACTCTGTTGAACAGCCACTCTATGGTTTTCAGATGAGATCTTTTCTCTTTGTAATAACCCTTCATTATGTGCCTTTAAAAGTAGGCACCCTATATTGTCTGTAGTGCAGCTAGATGCTTTCTTTCTGTCTCTGTAGTTTTAAAATCTGCCTAATAGGTTACCATATTTTCACCTAGATCAAACCCATTGCTGCAACTCAGCAATCAGCTAATACCCAAATTTCTTTGATATTAAGTATTCCTTATTACCCAGTGCTGATTGATTCAAATAAAGGAGTGACTACTGCATTATTGGTGACTGGGATCATCCATTATAAGGAGTTATCTGCACAAATCTCTTCAGAAAGTGTCCCTAGTCCTCTTTTCTAATCCTTTAAAGAATGTCCATCTGTTCAGCTAATTGTCTTTTTTGTTACCAATCTGTACCATGACATGATTGTAGTTGACTGAGTGAGCAGACAGGGACATTCATTCTAGAAGATGTCGGTCTTGCTCATCATTCAGGGTGTAGCATTGAATTGTCATTCTGTATGAAAGATTAGCTTATTAATCACTGTATCATTGACCTTCATTTTTTGGTTTCAAAAGAGATTACTTATTCAACAATCAGCTGCCACTTTACCTGGAAAGTTGCCTAATTGCATTGATCAGTGTAATAGATGATAAAGTTTGGTTTATGTTGTAGTTCCTCATCCTTGGCTTTTCTGTCGGTTTTGGATGGCTCCTGACATTGGTTTGACACAGACTCAGAGCCTAGCATTGCCTATGGATTTTCATTCTTTTTTCAAACCCTGAAATACTTAATCTCTGGCTAATTTGCAGGTTTGAGTTCCAGTCAGGCATAGGAGCACATTGATTGATCCCAATACCAGGGAGAAGCAGGCCCTCTTCAATATCTTTCTTGATCTTAGTTGAATTCTCTTAATGTTTGGTTTCCATCTTTATGTGGGATGACCAACACTCTTTCCCCTTTGTTATGCTGCTCACCTCTATGGAGATTGCACGACTTGCTGTAATGTTGAAAAGCACTTAAGATCAAGTAAATTTTAGAGTGCTCGGTGCTCTACTTCTAAAATTCGATATGTTTTCCTTTTTTCAGTCAGAGAAACAAAAAATTCTAAATTTATATTAAGAACAGTGTCATTTAATATAAAATTTTAAGATCATGTCACATTATTATAGGTGCCTCCTCGTGATGACTGGGGAATGGCTCGTACTCCCTCTCCTGAAGTCATTCAGTATGGTCTAGAGGATGAAGAAAGACAAGCACTTCAAACACAGTTAGAGAATCTTGCAGCTGGAGTTTCTCCTCTTCCTACTGGTCCTCCACCACCTCCTCCTACTACATCACCACCAGATGATGAAGATGAAGAGTATCTGTCTTCTGAAGAGGAAGAAGATGAACGAGACTTACAGGGTAGAGTTTTCACCAAACAAGGAGTAGAGGTAAGTACTGGCAAACCCAAACCTGTAAAGATTTTTAAAATATTATTAAGTATTATGGTAAATATGTATAGGGTATGTATGTACAAGTTTAATCTACAGTAAATCTTCCAGTAATAAAAATGGTATAAAAGGAATGCTTAGAAATAACTATTACAACAACATAAATGTTCATTATTATAGAATATTTTTCATCACTTACCCAGAAGAACTACAAGTAAATAAACTACATATTACTGTCATGATAAAATAGTTTGAGAGGAAAATCAATAAAGTTAAGCTGTACTAATCTTTATTATAATATATTATTCAGATTGAAAGAGCCAGTGCTGGAAATGTAAAGCTGACCCCTAAAGAAAAAGGGGAAGATCCGGAGAAAGAAGACCAGTTCGGGTACACCACAAGTGAGTTTTCATGTATACACATTTTCTGTTTTGGTTTTATAGATTTTTAATTTACTTGGACTTATCTCATGTAGGTTAAAACCACATTTACTGTAGTATTCTAAACTTATGACTACTAAACTCTACTTTTAAAATAGAAAATTTTGGTCTTAATAACTAAGACCAGAATAGTCAATCTATAAATATAATTCAAATTTTTCAGCATTTTAATCTTAGGTTTTTTAAGTGGTGTAGTAAACTTTTAAAAACTTGCTTATCTCCATTCTTAATAATATACAAAGTGAGAAGTTGAACTTTAGCTTGATCAGTAGTCACAAGTTTGAACCCTTCCTTGTCTGTATTGTGCTCCTTCAGAAACATTGCTATCTTCATAGGATGCTATAGTTACTCTTAAAAATTGCTTTAATTAAAATATCTAAGATCATCATTTCCAACCAAAAAATGGATCCTGAATTCTACAAACTGATTGCCATATTTTATCCTTAATAACCAATGAAATGAGAACTAAAATTTATGCAGTAGCCATTATGGCTAAAGCTTCTGCCTAATGAACAGACAGGGTTCAAATCCCATTTAATCTTAGTTTTTACTTATTCAATTATTTTTCATCATATCTATGGTAAGTGTAAGTATTACTACTTCTATCATATGTCTTAACACCATCTTTTAAACTAGAAGATAAAACATGAGAAATACGTGACCTTTCCAATTGTTTGACATTAATAAACTGTTTTTGGATTTTATATATATATATATGCACCAGGTTCATATGATAAAGTATTAAAATATTTTATGCATAGTTTCTTAGTTTTGAGACAATAGTGAAATAGATTTTGGTCATTAAAAGTGTTTAAAATAAGTAATAATAGTTTTAAAACTGTGCTCTGTCAATTAAAGCTTACAAGACTGATGTAGCTTATATACTGTCCTATATTACAATATTTTGGAAGATCATGACACCACCTTAACTTATTGATCAGCCTGGAGGATATGACAGTTGAAATCAGTAAGCACAGTCATTTACTTCAGTAATTGCAAAATGCAAAGTTAAGAGTGATTTGATATCTTTGTGCATATGGTCAAAAGCAACTGATCATAATGGATTGATTAACACTAGGACACTGTCACGCTGCATTTCACAATGCAATGTTCACAAACATAAAATCTTGAGTATGAATATTTCTACATTGGACTTATATACCATATATACATGTATAAAAGGGATAAAAAGTTAAATTTTGAAGAGCTATATATAAAATTTGGAGTTTTATTACCAACAGTGTAAAAACACCCTATGCATTTGAAAATGCAGGTAATTCTAATATGTATAAATATATATACAATGCTTTTAATAACATGTTGCAGTGAGATTGCATCAGATCTTCTGTACTATATGTGCAGACATATTAGGTCGTCAAGAAATTAATGTTGCATTTTGGAACACTTTCATTAACCCCCCCCCCCAAAGTACATCAAATATAATAGTAAAACGAACCGCCTAAACATCATGTTAGTGCAGC